CGAACTACCCCCCGAGATCCGGATGATTCCGGATCTCCTTACTTTCCGCCGCGCCCTCAAGACATGGCTTTTCCAGCAAGCGGGCCTGACCTAAGGAGGATTTTATTTAGGGACGATTTTAAGTATAATTTTAATTGGAACACAGCTTCGAATATTTGGTTTTTAATTTGGTTTTAGAGGGGTTTTTATTTTTATTTTTATTGATATGTGTATCTGTTTTAATATGCTGTGCACCGCCCTGAGTCCTGCGGGAGAAGGGCGGTATAGAAATTAAATTAATAATAAATAAATAAATAAATCATGACCACCACCACCACCACCACCACCACCACCACCACCACTACTACTACTACTACTACTACTACTACTACTACTACTACTATTATTATTCCCATAAAGAGACATCATCTAGACCCTTTTCTTCATTTGTCTTCCATATTCTCATGTTGGTTAACTCAATGTTGTCTTCCATGCCTTCAAACTCTATAATGTCTATTTTTTTATCATCTTCTAAAAATTTATCCACTGACATCTGTATACTTTTTGAGATATTAGCTATTAATACTTCAAAAGATTATAGCTTGTTTGGCCATTTTAACTCTTTTCTGCCTGGTCCTTTAGTTCCCTCTAGTGTCCATTTGCAACCTTCAAGCCTCAGTTCCTAACATGGGTTTAGTTGTGTGTTTCAGTCATTTTCTACTAGCATGTTAATTATATACTTGTTTTTCAAATCTTACAGCAAAATTAATCAACACGTCAAATATCTTTAGTCTCTGTTTAAAACTTTCATAAATCAAAATATTTTTTTTTGCTTTTTGCCAATTGTACATTATTTTAAATTCTTAAGTCTAATTTAAAAAAAATTTAAATCAAAAGAATGTAAATCTCACCAGGTGTCAAATTAAGCTCGCCGTTTTGAAGGTCTCTAATAACCATAAATTGAACATTTCCAAATTTGACTAGAATTATCAATTTTTCTCCAAAAGGAGGAGAAATATTCACAAGTTCTATTCCTTCCAACATATTTTGTCTTTAATGCAAGAAGACCTCCAAGGTCCCTTCCAACTCTTGATATTCTGCATTCTGTATTTAACCTAGTGAAACATTTGTAAGTAAAAATGGTTCTGGTTTAAATAATGGTTATTCTTTGAGAATCTAGATGCAGGAAAATTCATCTACCTTCCATCACTACCACTAAAATGAATATGTTTCTGCAATTTCCAGGAAGAAGTGAATCTCTTTAAGATCTGCTTATGCCTAGAGAATACATTTTCACTATTCCCTCTCCTTTTGCCATATACTTACTGGATCTTTGAACTGTTCACTGACAGAGCGGATGACAGGAAGTGTTTCTTCCAGTTTGGAAGCCAGCTGGTCAGCATTCATGTCTCCTAGGCCAAGCATGTTGCACATCTAGTGAAGAACAAAAAGTTGCAAT